TTTGCGCTTAACGGACTCTAAGTGCATTGCTTGAACACTCATGGGCGGCCTCGGGAAGGAAGGTCTCGCGAAGGAAGGTCTCGCGAAGGGGGGTCTCGCGAAGGAAGTTCTCGCGAACGGGGGTCTTGCGAAGGGGGGTCTCGCGAAGAGCGGTCTCGAAGGGGTGTCTCGCGAAGGAAGGTCTCGCGAAGGGGGATCTCGCAGCTTCGCGGCTTCGCAGCTTCTGACAGCTTCTCGCAGCTTCGTCGCTTCGCCGGTATCTCGCAGCTTCGCGGCTTCGCAGCTTCTCACGGCTTCGCAGCTCCGTTCGTATTTTCTGGGCCTTCCCTCCCCGCGCAATGAGAGCTTCCACTCCTCTTTGGAACTCTTGAAGTCCATGTACATCCTGCCATCTCAGCCCCAGGTCGGCAGTTTTTGCTCGCAAATGATCCAATGCGCTAGCTCCAATGCAAGGTTTAGCTGCAATGTGGTTGAGAAGCGAGCAGAACTGCCCCCAGTAGGCCAAATTCCACGGTGTCAGCGGTTTGGACACAGGCAGCGGCTTATACTCCAACCTCGGCCTTGTTTGGGTTCATGCAGTCTCTGCAGAGCAAACTGCTCCGCTTGGTGGCACCACTCAGCATACTGAATCTCCTTGGGACCAGTGGGCCTTCCAAGCCAGAAGAGCTTGGGTGATGGTTGAAATTCCTCCCAGCCACGAACTTGATCATCCAGCTTGGGCACTGCAGGATATTGCGCAGCATCAACCGTGGAGCTTCCTTGTCAACAGAAATCACCAATGCTGCATGGGGGTTCCAAGGCACATCCCAATTGACAGTCTCTCTCTCTCTCTCTCTCTGTCTCTCTCTCTCTCTCTCTCTGTCTCTCTCTCTCTCTCTCTGTCTGTCTCTCTCTCTCTCTGCCAACGGAATCAAATCAATCTTGCAAGGGCTCTTCTGCGTCCAAGCTTTGTCGCTACCCAAGCTACTGTACCACTTACAGTATCTGTTATTACTAGCTGCTTACTTAAACTTTTCTACTACGGCCTGCATCCTCCAAAGAAAAAGGGTTGATATGGTGGTGGTTCAGTGGTTCAGACTCTCCAGCCTCGGCAGTTGGTTAGTTGACCGCTCGGTCTCTACTGCTCCTATGTTCGAAGGTGTTGATGTCTATGCAAACCTACTGCGTATCCAGCACCTGCTTTCATTACATGTGTGGCCATGGTAAAGCAACGATGATGCCGCAATGATGCCCATCTGTTGTAGAGCCAATGCGAAGACTGTCAGCAAGTGTATTCTTTCATGTGGAAAAGGGCCAGTATCTCAATTCTTTTCAGAAGGTTTCAACACAAAAGTTTTCAGTTTTGGAGGTGATGTACAAATTCCCAGGCTCAGGTCGTTTTCGACACTAGAAGGTGTGCTACAGGGAGATGCTTCCAAATATCTCAAAGCTTAAAGGAGGCCGAAAGGTCCAGGACAATGAAGACTTCGTCGGACTTCTTCCAACAAGGAAAGAGCATCTCAAATTTGAAAGTTTCATAGAGGTCTGTGTGCTTCCTGACAAAGAACAGTTTGAGCTTGTGCATGGTTTTTTGCTATGGTGTTGAAGAGAAGTTTGACATTAACCAGCCAAAAGTGTCATACTGATTCAACAATTCTAGAAAGTTTCCGGATTCCGCGGGGGAAGAAAGGTATCTCGCCTCTTGCAATGGGTATTTCAAACATGTGACTTGGCTGATGATTTAAAGGTTTGCAAAAATTGGAAAGGAAAACACGCGCAGAATCTGTCAAGGCGATATGCCACGCCACAAGGTTTACAGAAAGAACTTCACTTGGGTAATTTCAGCTTGCAGAATACGCGAAGCATCGGTTCAAGAGAGCATGATCCTGTTTTGACAAAAGCATTTGGATCCTCCTAGAAGAAAGTCCTTGGTCTCACCAACCTGTGCTAGACACACAAAAAAAAAAGTGAACAATCTCGTGCGCTTCGCTGAGTGGCCCGTTCTCATGAAACCTTTTAGACGGCTTTTAGAAAACGCGTTGCTGTCTAGAAGTCTTAGCACTTTCTTCCTGGATCAACTCTTTTCATGTAAAGCCGTCTGAGATGTGTGTCTGCAGCAAGCTCATTCTTGGACTTTGAAGTGAGGAAAATCCGAAGTTCATGTAATAGAACTATACAATACATTATATAATCATGTGTAATCACATCATCTACACGCCATGTAGATTGCACACCGACACCCCAATACATAGTAAAGGTATATGTACAGTTACATGTCTTTGATCCCCTTGTGTTCCGGTCGCCGCCTTCTCAGCGCTGCCACACACTCGGGTCACCTCCAAAAGGTAGTCAGTGACAGAACCTCAACTTCAATGAAAGAACTTGGAAGAACAATTAAAAATTGAATTTAATTCAATGAGCTGTTTCATGTTGTCTCCAATATCTGAACCCATGAAAGCCATCATCTGGCTATCATTTGTTTTCCATTCTTCCGAAACACAGTTGTACGAGATCAATACCTCAAAGGTCTGGTTTGCGGGCAAAGAGCAGCCTTCAATGGTCATGTTTGGAGAAATGATCATTTGAGTCCTTAGACTTTCACAATTCTTGGCTGGATCATGAAATCATATCAAACCTCTGTGCGTTTCAGAAAGGTCCTTGCATCTGCAAGTGGAGAACTAATGGAGAAAGGACAAAAAGTCAAAAGTATCTGCAGGCATGGATTTGCCTTCTTCTCCATGCCTCAATCTTCGGCCACCCCCTTCTGCTGCTAACTTCGAACAATCGAAGTAGTCCGACCGATAGCAAGCGCCCAGATTCCACTTGCCAAAGCGGGAGGAGTTGTTGTTCCTCACCTAAGTCCAAGTCCAGCAACAAAAAGCATGTATTGACTTTGCCTTCCTTGTGGTTGACAATCTAGAAATCATGTGGCAAAAATACTTGTTCACTGTTGGTTCCTGGCTGTCATGGCATTTCCAAAAGCTTCCAGAATTGGATTTGTCTGGATGATCTTGTCCTGTCAGCATGCACACTTACTTGACCACACAATCCACACGAGGCCACTCAGCAGCCCGCCTGAATACTGGGCTTTGCGGGATCAATCACAGAGTATCGGCTCTTTCGCCTCGATTGGCCTAAGCGGATTTGACAGACTTTGCAAGTATACCGTTTTCTTTTTTTCTTTAGCCTCAAAATTCTCGAAACGTTGTGAAAGGTCTGTCCTGGTGTTGCAGGATCGAAGGCTACCGAATATCGGGGCCTGCTCTCCTGACAAAACAAGCTGGACCATGCTATGAACACCTGGACCTGCAAGTAGCTAGAAGAAACTACCAGCGTTGGAACTTGGTGAGATTTCTTATCTGTACGAGTAGAATCTACAGTATGTTCCCAGTGCGCTCCCGTCGCTGCAACTGCCGGGAGCTTCCAATCGCCTGCACGGAACGTCTAAACTTGGGCCCCTTTCATTTGTGAAACAGTTTTTACTTTCTTGTGGCGCGCAGGTCTCGCTGTATTTTTCGGAACGTTTTCTGGCCTCTGAGATGTAAGACATTACTAATTTCGCAGATTCGGTCTTGCCGGCCCCAGACTCGCCACTAATAAGTACAACCTGCCAATGAAAAACGTCCAAAGGTGCTGCTGAACCAAGAGTGATGCACCTGGCTTGTTCCGCCATTCTGCTGCAGCCCCTGAGGCGTGTTGTGGGCACCAACATTAAGGCGAACCACGTCAACACAAAACCCCTCTGGATAATCTTGCTCTTTCCTGATTGTAAGAATGCAGACGTATATATTTCATGTTTTTACAACATTCAGGCCCAGATATTTTTCTACGGTAGGCCCGCTGCCTTGACTGCGTGCAGGCCCAATGCATATATATGCGGTGGCAAATCCTCAGGCATGATTTAAACACAATGCACCCCCTTAGGAAAGAAATACGAAGCTGACCCTTGGCCAAGCCAGCATGGCCCTTTCAAATCCCAGCAACCATAGTGCTCGAAGCCCCAAGATACTTGATCAGGTTCTCCTTTCAGGTCCAAATGAGAAGTCTGAGCTTGAACCACTGAACTGTGTATCGGGAATATCTACCAATAGCCAATCGACTTCAAGCAATGCGTATGGGTGATTCCTTTGGGCTCCAGCCAGTGAAACATCCCATAACGAAGTGATATGCAGCACTATGCCAAGGCTTGACTTCAGTTAACATTTGTACAATGTATATATATACCAGCCAGTATACTGTATATATAAACTCACGGCTCAGCCCTTTTCACAACGCTCCACAGTGGATCAAGAAAGTAAGCAAAAACCATGAACAGAATCAGAGGTCTTTCACCAGAGCAAATCCTCTACACGTAAAAGACCGCTCTTTGGTCTCGAGGAGCTCCGCCCTTCTGGCCCTCGCCCAGCCAAGGGACAGAAAAATTCCCCTATCCCCCTTGAAAACCCCTCGCTTAGCCGAGGGTTTCAAGCTGCGATTTTTTGCTAAAAAAGTGGCAAGAAAAAGCTCCCTTCCACGTCCCCCCTTTTCTGCGTCTAGAACGCGGGCTCAAGTGTGGGGGCGAGATCTGATTGTGAAACACACGGACAAACGGTATCAAGGTCTTACTGGGAAGCTTCGTGTCTGCCAACACCGCCATGCTCTCATTGAGGTATATTCTGGCAGTTTTGGCTGCTTGCCACCTTCCGGCCACTAGCAAATTATCGAGCGACCCATGCTCTGTGAACCAGAATGTTGCCCCACCCCGTCTCAACGAGTATGGGCGGAACTGAAAAAGACCTAGCTGCAAAGCATCTATACATTGGGCGAACAACTCTCCACACGGACACTGAAGTCACAAACATGGCCTGAGGTTTGACACTCTGTTTCCACAGCCACAACCAACGCAAGGCGACTCCAACCGTCAGGGTAACGGACTCTGCTGCACCAACTCTCTTTCCACTCTTAGTGAGTCCTAGGCTCACCACTGCCGGTGCCCTAGGCGATTTCATGAATATATGAGTTGATCTCAAGCTCGTCGGTTCACCTATCCTAAGCATGGCATAGAAACCTACTAACAGGGACACTCCAAAATCCCAAATGGCCTTGGAAAAAACTCCAACCTACCATTGCTTCAATTGCTGTCTCCGTCAGTGGAGGCGCTCGGTTTGGCACCTCGTTCACATGCCACATTTTGAGAGTCTCCAGGTCAATTGCAATTGGCCTTTCAATTTGGGGTCTGCGTGCCACCGTGTCTGAAACCAGCTCCCTACCTTCGCCTTCCATCCAAAGGTACTCGATGTACTCCGCCAGGAGCGCATCAAACTGCTCCCGCTTTTTGGTGATCTCTGAGGAATTAGTCCGAAGAAAAGCATAGAAACGCTGCCGAGCCTCACTATACCGTAGTTGAGTTTTAGGTGATACAGTCAGGTGTTTAAGGGATCCTAGTTCCTGCCTTTGTGCCTTTCGCTGCTGTTTGGTCTGACCTCTCGCTTCCTAATTAAGTGGCCGCCGGCTAGGCCGGTCAGCCGGGTTCTGTGAGGTATGGATGTATCCTTAGAGGGGATGAAGGTCAGCCGCCAACAGCAACGCGTTCAATCTGATGATGATAGGCCTCAACTTGCGACTATAGAACTTCTTCCACGCGTGAGGGCGTGGAGGCGCACGAGACTATCGGTAAGATGCAGAAAACAGATTCCCAACTTTTTCGAACGAGAGACTTTCCACTTGATCGACGTCAAAATGGCCGTCATCTCGGACATCCTCATAGGCCATACCTGTCTGGTCACTCTTGGGCACGCAATGCTTGGTGTACTCAATGGGGAAACCCATACAAGCTTCACGTGGGGATTGGGGCGTCGCAACGTTCCGCGCCTCTATGTTGATAAGGAGGGAACCTGAAACCATCCTCATACCACCTGGCCTTCTCACGTTCAACTCATTGATCTACTCCCGCAGGCCTCCTACTAGGAGTGCTTCGTGGGCGTGACGTCGTGAAGGTCGGGGGCGACATCCCTCTCGGAGGCTCCACCCTGATAAGAGCAAGATCTTGCTTTCGACACAACCTTCCAGCCGAACAACATCAACCGAACTCCAACCCTACTCCTCTCCCGCCTCCCAGGAGACGCCTTCGCCTGAGTTGCATTCCCAAGTAATCCAGTAGAGCCTAAGTCTTGCACACAGACTGATGCCCTTGGAGTCAATCCGATAGGGATGGCGTCCAAAAGCTTCACTCATGATGGCACGATCTCCGATCTCCCCCTGACATTGAGGCCACATTCTCGACAATCTCATGTATCTGAGCCCATGGAAACTCCTCACGAAACAACCGTGTAATTCGTGGCACTTCCTGGAACAGGCTACTACGCTTATCCTGCAGTGCCCCCAAACGGTCAGCATTCAACCCACTACCTCCTTGGAGGTCCCGCGCCGATGATCACTAGCCCCACGTTGCTATACCTCAAAGCCACTGTCCGGGCCTCCTCTCGCCCAAACGTGCAAACATCTTCAAAGAAGGTTGTACCTGGAAAGAATGATTCAACCACCCTTCGGCATTTGGGGTCTTGCTCAACACTGACATGTCCAGCCATGGGTAAGCCCAACACGTCACACGCAACCCTCAGCGCAGCAATCCCATCAAAGAGACCAACACTTAAAACTTGGACTTGGACCAAGTCATGTTCCTCAGGCAAATTCCCCCCGAGCTGGGCAGTTGACTGCACTCATGCCAAAACTTTCAGTCGCTTCGAAGCGCAGAGTCCTCCCCCTAGCGTCGACGCATCAGAGCAAGTGGCCTCTCCATCCACCGGGGTCCTGAAGTCCATCTGAGCCAAAGGGGACAAAAGAATAAATCGGGCGGTCTCAATCTTCACCTGGTATGGGATGGCTAGCCTAACTACTGGGGCTTCGCCCTCAAATGCTTGCATGTCCATTCAAGCTTCCCAACAGTTGCCTACGAAACATTGACAGGTAGACAATACCGCCACAGACCACCTGGAGCTCCCTCAGTGTACTCTGCCCCCTGACCAGGAGCTCAAATCCCAACTTGCAATACTGTACGACGCTGGCTTCGGCATGGCAATACCTTGTTCACCATCCAGGAGGGCCCCTTGTAGCTCTCCCACTGTGACCCTCTCTGCGGCTTTCTTTGGGTGGCATGGAAAGACCGTGAGCTGCGTACCATGCCCTCAATGTCTCAACCTGTGGCTTGACGCTACCTTTGATCTGCCCCGCTAGATTTGCTTCTGTCTTTTCCAGGGCGTCAAAGTTATCTAGGTAAACCCTGTATAAGCTCGACGAACAGGTCATGGCCTTGTCCTTTCGAAGTTCACCTTCTGCTCCTATGGGAGGTATTCCTGACATGGCCGACCACCGCACGACATTCCTGTGGACGTGTTGAGCGATGCTGACTGAGTTCCGAGTGTACTCGTGAAACCAAGACGCATGGCTGCCCTGTGAACTCGGCAGGGATCCGGTCAGGCGGTACTTGTTGAACCCTTATAAGTACCTTTTCCAAGTCTCCGGAATGGCAAACAAGTAAAAGAAGCACTTGATATCTTCTGACGATAGCAGTGCCACTTCCCCCAAATCCAGGAGAAAACCACTTAAGCCCGACACCGATGGCAAGGTTCCTACGTCGCCTTGGAGACTCTTGCAGATGGAGTTCACTGGCACCAAGTTCATGATTAGCCTCTGTGTTTCAAGTCCAGATACATATTCGCCCTTGCCGACAGCGAACAACCCGTTAGCAACGGGGCACCCTGAATGTGAAACAATCGGGAAGTAGGCCAAACCTCGCAAACCTTCTTGGCAATCAGTCCTGACAAACCCTGGGCCACTCTTCGGGAGAGAGGCTTGGACAGCCTCCCATACAAGATTCTGTGCTAGTTTCACTTCTTCCCCCGTGTAGTCAATGCTTTTACTTTTGAAAAACAGTTCAAAAGAACAACCTGTGTCCGTCTCCCCCCACATGTGATATCGTTAAATCTGCTGCGCGAGCTTCTTTTCAGCCCGCGTGCCTAGGCTCAAGTCACTCTTCGGTGAGCACGCCTCTGGGTCGCCTGGTTCGAGTTCTTCAGTGCTCAAATATCCAGCCAAACGATTAAGAGCGCGGAATGTTCCCATGACCAGGTTGGCATAGCCAGGCGGGTGACCGAAACCCTGCAGTCTGCTTTCCATCGCACTCCCAACTCGAAGAAAAAATGAATGCGTTCGGCAGTCTAAGCTGGGCTTCATGTTGGAGCGTTGTGATCTTGCTTGCTCATGTTTCCTCAACAGATCAGCCACCTGGTTGAAAATCTTTGCCATGGTGGTACTCTCCAGATCAGGGTTGCTGCCCAATCCGTCGTCTAAACCACCGGAGAATTTCTCATGCACTGAAGGTAGAGAACTGCGATCAACTATAGCATCCTCACCTCCCACTCTATCGAATTCATCGCCCGCAGTCCAGCTGCCACTGTGTCTGCCACCTTCATAGTTGCCATCTTCGGCGCCTTTCTCTCCAGGCTATCCTTCAACTGTTCTTCTTCTTGCCTTCGCCCTTGTCTTTGTTGCCTTTCTCCTGATGCTGGTGCTTTGAGTCGTTTTTGGAAGCCCTTTCTCTCCCTTCTCTCTCGCTTTCCCCGCTCTTCCCAGTGGCGGTTTGTGGCTTGATGGAGCACTTTCGTCTCCACATCGGCGGCCTGGGACAACAATTCCATTTGCCTGAGGAGATCAGGGCGCATGGACTTCGACAGCCCTTCCAAAATTCAGGCGTTGGGGTGTAGTGCTTCGCGGGCCACAGGAGGTGACATGGCCTGGGACAGATGTTGGCGGCAATACTGCAACCTTGGCTCTCTGCCTCTTGCAATCCCAGTCCGAGATTCAGCACCATCGTCTTCTGCGCCTCCATGATCGTCATTGTCGCGGTGAGCACTCCTGGATATTTTCGCCAAATCCGCTGAGCAGCCGACAGGGGCGAGAACAACTCTTCTCGTGCTCCCATCTCTTCGGATTCGGTGCTGCTGGACCCGTCGAGGTGGTGTGGGACGAACTCTTCTTGTTCCTGCTTTTTCGCCCCAGCCTCCTTGCCTTTCTCCTCAACCTTTTCCTGACTACTTCCCTGGGGTGGACCCGTATAGGGCTTCTTGAGTCTTCACCGCTTGTACCTTCTCCTTTTCCCGCTTTCGCTTCTTCTTTTTCTTCTTTGAGTCTTCCTTCACCTTCTCTTGTCTGTCGTCTCCCGCCTCCGCTGCGGCTTCCCCAGGAGCGACTCTTGCAGTGCCTACTCCTTTGCCTCTCTCTGCAGCCTCCCGCCTCAGCACTTCCATCTCGTCTCGTTCTGCCTCTCTCACAGACACCTCGGCGTTCCGAGACCATGCATGATTCATGATCCTCGAACTCGCATCCCTTTTGATCCGGGAGGCGTGCACGACCGTCTTGCTCCAGGTCAGATGACTGCATGGATCGTCGCATAGATGGATCTTCACCAATTTGTTCGGCTGCCCTGACAGCATCCTCAGCAAAGGCTCTGACGTCATTCCGTGAGCCTTCAATGTAACCGAGGTCCCCGATCAACTCTGCATTGTTGTCCCAATACAAGCCCTGCGCCAATAATATTGCCGACCAGGAATTCAACTCCCGCACATTGACCTCTGCAGCCTTCTGCCAACCATTCTCCTCTTCCGCTCGGCCGGCAGGCCGGGCTCGATGCGGGGTGGCCGTGGACCGGAGCCACTGCCGGCCTTCTCATCGCCCGCTTCGACGCCATGTTGGATCTCGTCTTTTGTTCTTGTAGACATCGTAGTTTCTCCACACTTTCTTGAGACCTCTATTCTTCTTTTTCTTTGGCCGGAATCCTCCTTTCTTGCCCCTTCCTTTTCCTTTTCCCTTCCCATTTTCCTTTGCCACGTCCTTTTCCTTGTGGCACCTCCGGGGAAGGGGACTCCTCAGCGGGTTCCTCTTCGATCTCAACCTCGGGCTCGCCTTCGACCTCCTCCTCCTCGATCTCCTCTCGGGTCTCCTCGACCTCGTCTGGCTCGTCACTAGGAGCCTCTTCCGCTCCCGACAGCACCAAGTCGGTGAGTCCTTGCCCTCCGTCGGACGACTTGTCTTCCGGTGTGCGGCCTCTCTGCTCACTCCCCTCTCTCCTCTGACGGGATCGACTGGCCTTGGCTGGCTTCCTTGGAGCCGACTTGGGATGAAGTTCCTGTGAACTAGGTGTCCTTGACCGGGTTCTACGCCTCCTCCGGCTCCTATAGTTCCTTCGCTTCTTCTCTTTTGCAACAGGCTCTTCGTCTTGTGGTGTATCCTCTCTACTCTCTTCCCCTCTTCGCTTCCTGGCCAGAGGTGGCAGCCTCTGCCCTCGGGGGATCTCTTCGAGGTCATACTATATATATATATTGATATAATATAATATATATATATATATGTACACACATATCCTTCATCGATTTTCTTCGACCTTGGAGTAAACGGCTAGCTCTTTGAAAGGGTTCACCGCGACCAGCATCTTGGAGACCTAATTGAGAGCCGGCACCAACATGACATCCAAAAAGGGCCAAAAAAGAGTGCACTTCACGCAACTCAGCCCTGTGAAGTCAGTTGGCCTGGGGCCTAGGGTGTCTGAGGTTCCAGCGAATGTATAGATATCGGATCTCTTGTATCTGGTGCGGACGGTGTGAAGAACTGCAGCATTGTCCACAACAACGAGCCTTAGGAATGAATATGAATTTCAGACTTTGTTGTCACTGCACAGCTCAAGCTCGGGCCAAAAATAAAACTCGTTCCCTTTCATCCCTTTCTCCCAAAAGTGCATGTCCTCCGAGTTTTCAGGAGACACGAACGTGCCAAAATGTATGCTGCCAAGCTGCTCACAAACATTGCCAACACCAAGAAGCTGGGGTTCATGAACTTTGGGAAGTTCTCCTAAAGTTGCTACCTTGGCCAGGCTTGGAGTGTCCCAAAAACAACTGCGCAAAAAAGATTCGCGGAGTCGCTGCTAGTTGCACCAAGGTGTATGCGCAATGCCCAGTGCCGGAGCAAAAGCGGCAGTCTCGGCCTCTGTCTGTCAAGCAGCTGAATGTGTGAGCGGAGAGCCCTTGTTCGTCACACGCTTACCTGGGTCGGAAGAGGAAAGATAGCAAAGCACTGCAAAGCAAGCCCCTTATTCGCAATACCAGGCTAGCTGGTCCAGTATGTGGGAAGAAATCAACTGCAGCTAGAGCCAAAGCGCCATCTGGATCGATGAAATGGACTTTGTCCTCAAAGCTGCCAAGTGCAACCCGATGGCAACGAAAACAAACAGTACATAGTACACAACAGCTGTCCGTGTTTCTCGCATGGTTGTTCAAAGTGTCTAATCAGCATGACTGATCTTGAGTTTAAGCGTGATATGGAACAAATGTGTTTGCTGTGCTAGCTGTTTCTTCTTGCCAGATTGGAAGAAGAAATCGCAACTGCTGAGTTCCAGTCTCCACTCACTTCACAGGTGCATGGACAGAAAACATCGTCAGGATGGGCCACCCAATACTTGTCCATGAGACCTTTGCAAGCTACTCCACGCAACCCACAGCTCAAAGCAAAGCTTCGAGGACAACTTGAAGATTGAAGGTCACAACAGTAAAGGGCATTCAAGTCTGCACAAAATCAAGCCAAGTGTAAGACAAAAGTTTATGCATGCCAAGGTTGATTGTGGCTGATCCATTAGTCGGCATTCCCACTGTCTGTCCAAGATCTAAGCATGCAGCGGGTCACACCTTCATTCTGGCCGCTGGGCCGGTAAACAAGAGAAATATGCTTTCAGAGTGACAGGTTGTTGCTGGAAAAGACAGTGCAAATGGCAAATAGACTCTGAAACGGAACAGTGTGATTGGTATTTCGCTCCCTCTCCCTCTGGAGAATCTATTCAAGGACTTCCAACCAAAAAAACACTCTTGTCCAAAGTTCTCGCACGCAGCTGTACCCTGCTCTACGAGCAAGTGATAAGCTTCTGCGGTTGGAATCAACGATTGACCTCTTCGAGCCAAGCAGAGTCGGCAGTTTGTGCAAACAGTGTGCTAAAAATTGTTAGTCATGTGTGCTGAAGTAAAACTCGCTGCTGGGCTGCTTGGGATGGGTTGCGGGCCGTAGTTCCTGGTTGAACACTCATTCAGCGCATTGTCTTCAACGTTTTAACATTTTGAGAGTTTGCTCAGATATTGAAGAAATTCTAAAAGAGTCAGGCAGGAATGATGAACCTTTCAACTACACTTCTTATATAACTCCGCAGAGTCTTCTTTCCTGCTGTTGAGCAAGACTTATATAACAGTTTCGTGGTCTGCTTCCCTCACGGCAGGCTTTGCAGAGCCAGTCGTTTGAAGGTATATATATCATACAATTATGCAGCAGTTGCGCATTGCTCAGTGGTCAGCCAAGACACATGGTTGCCAGATGTGCAAAGAGCAATTGTCTAATGTTGCAAGTCCAATTGCTCCCTGATCAACACAAGCTAGAAGGTCAATGTTTACGATCGGGTATATAACCAGAAGAGAAAAGAATCATCAGGTTGAGTCCTGCTTCCAAATCTCACCAAAAATTGGGACTAGAGGGCAGCTGTTGACCCTGTTGAATGCGCTTCGAAACTGATCTGTTCCAAAGATCCACAATGTTAGCCAGAATTGTCAATACGGTCAACATGAAGTACGGTCAGCATGCTGCAAGCATTGGCGACATGTTTTCTCGTCATTCTCAGCCCCGTGAGGAACCATCGGCCCAGAACGATGCAACGAAAAGCTATGGCCCGCAGTCTCATCGGAAGACATGCCCATCCACACACCAGTGAGTGGCTAATCAGCTAAATATGTGAGATTCCTCAAGGTAGGGAATGACCGCACACTCACGTTACACCCACAGATGTTGTTTAGGCTATGCCCTTTTCATCATCTGACATCGCGGGCCTAGCAAGTGAGACTCATCAAAGGACGTCTGTTTCAGACTTTACAGCAAAGACATAGCAAGTGCAGCCCCCCTATACCGGGAGCCTGTTTCGCAAACACATTTGCATTCTCAGTCAGAACATTTTGCCAATCGCGGCGTAAGCTTGCCAGTTGGAGTGGCTGTTCTCCACTCCTGCATCGCCAACCAGCCACAGCCAACGTCACAATGGAGCAAATCTCGTGCAAGACAGGCACATCAATCATCAAAATGCGCGGCATTCATGCATTCATGTCCTGAGTTCAAATTCCAATGTTCCCTTTGGGCAAGCCTCATGAATCCCCAGTGGCAAAAGTACTGAGACCGGGTAAAGCAACTTGAGAAAAGGGGGGTGGACGAAAGGTTGGTAAGCAACGAAGGGTGGGTAGCAGCAGAAGCAGCAGCAAACCACCCAGCAGCAGCAGCAGCAGCAGCAGTAGCCAAATAACCAGGAGGGAGGAGAAGCTCGATACGAATCCATTGACACCAAGCAGCGATACAATGGAAGAGAAATTCACCCGTCCCAGGAAGAGTTGAACCCACGGGGGGAGAGGTGGGGGCCCCGTGTGATGAAGAGTCGCCTTTCGTGACCCTAAATTCAGATCATGAAGGGATCCTGGTCCTAAGCTAAAGCTTATCAAACTCAAGGTTGCTGAAGCAACCTTTCGTGATAACCTGTTTGCGGGTCTTTCAGGCAGCATGCCTCAAGCTCTTCTTCTCTGAGAATGAGTCACGCTGCAGAGGATCTTCGTTCAGAAGCAAACAAACAAATGTTGTCCCAGCAGAATCAGAAACATGTGATCTAACTCTTTTCACAGAAGATACCCTTCACGCTTGTGTCCAGGAAGACCCTTGCAAGGTATGTTGCTGTGATTTGCTATCTTATCCATCACAGGGATTCGATTTGTTTCCTGTGTTTCATTGTACAGGAGCCTCGAGCATCTACTGCTTTCCACTGGACTCACAATAACCCAACGTACCATGCCCATTGGCTGGAATCAAAGCTTGATGGCACCAAGAGTACAAAATGTCCTTTGCCTTTCTCGCGCCTTTTTGGACACGAGGAAACACAAAGCTATGCCGAGGCTGCCGAGGTGCCAATCACAAATGAATTACTGTGTCAGGAGGTAGCACTTCCTCTTCACCTAAATCCCACCAAGATTGAAGGCATATCTTGGAGACCGCTGTCACGAATGGCATTGGGGGGTTGTGCACAAATTTAAAAAAGACTTTGTGCGATTCAGCTGCCATCCGCTCCTGTTGTCAACCATTGCATAACCGAGGATTCGTCCATATCAAGGTCATGCCGCAACCCTCCGAGCAGTTCCAGACCGTCTCTCAACCTTCAAGCAGTCCGTCTCTACCAAACATACGTTCTTCTGGCGGCCAAGTAGTGGGAAAGGGGGTTGGAGAGAAAAAACATCTATATAGGTTTGTTGCATTTGCGGAAACCTATGTCACGAAGAGAGTGCCCAGTCGTACGCAGTTCATCACCGGCGCTCGCACACCAATAGAAAGCTTATTTGAGATCTCGACAAGTGACATCTCATCTTTCTGATTCAGTGCATCTTTGCGTTCAGGTTGCACTCCAAATGAATTGTCCTTACTGACTCCACTGGCAAAGCAAAGGACATCGCGAGTGGCCAACAAATAACCTGCAAACCCTGCACACATTGATCCTTTTGATTCCAGCGAAATGATGTCGGTGTCGAACAAAGTGTGACACACAAAATGATTTTTTGTGTGGATGCAAACTGTTCGAGGAAGTTTCACCAGTGCACTTCCATGTTAACCTGCAGTTCGAAAGCCACTGTCCAATTCTTTCCTGTTCCCAAATCAAGTTGGATGGAGAGGAGCGCTTCGAAAGAAGTGTTCACCCTTTACAGCTTGATTATAACAGGAAGGCAAGGGCTCAAGGCGATGAATGGTACTCAACGCGGAAATCTACAGTAGAAAGCAACACGTGCGAAGAAAGTGCATTTACAGCCTAGCCTTGTTCAATTGCGTTTTGAATCTAAGTGCATCAGTCTGCCTCTCCAAACCCAATAAACCCAAAACAAATACATCTACTATATTATATGAATCATATGACCTGCTGAACCAAGTTGCTTCGGTTGGCTCGGTCGCTTGCTCTGCCGTGGGAACGCCAGGCAGTCCAGGTGGTGATTGCGGATGTTGGCGGTATACCTCATATGCCTGCAAGCGGTCACTCCCGGTCAGTGTCCGGACGGAACAATTTTGCGAAACGATGTAATTATGTCTAGGGCCTAGGGTCTCGAATTCGAGCCCCTTCACAGGACTCTCAATAAAATACTGTTGTTTCTTGACTCTAACACAGTTTCCGGTCATGATGCGCACACTTTACAAGTTGATGCACAAGGGAACAGCAGTTCTTCAAATGTTTTTTGTTTGATCGAACATGGATGTAGCAAAGACCTCAAAAAAGAACGGTCAAAGTTTTATTCGGAAACTAAAAGGATGTTTTCTTCGGAAACCAGTTTTCGGAAACTTTACGGTTTTCTTTGGGAAACTAATCTTCGGAAACTACGCGGTTTTCTTCAGAAATTTTAAGGTTTTCTTCGGAAACTACTCTTCGGAAAATCTACGGTTTTCTTCAGAAACTAATGTTCGGAAACTACGAAGAGTCAAACAGCAACATCAAGCATGCACCAAAAAGTTTCTGCAGATCGTAAAGCAGCAATGTATATACTATATACTATATTCTATATACCGTAGCCGTCACAAGGCACGTCAATAGCCCGCTCCTTCACGCAATTTGGTTACAATAATTGTAAAAGTTCTGAAGAATATTTTGCGAAACTCGAAAGTGGTAGGCCATGAAGCTTCAAACGCACCGGACCGAGTCTTTTACCTGAACACTGGGCCACAATGGGCTCCCAGAACAACGAGTCTCACACATGGCATTCAAAAGGAAGTCATGACGGGGTCAAGTTTCCTTTGACTCACCCGCCGACCGTTGAACTTTCAGTCATCTTTACACGCTTTTTGCGTAACTCGCTGCTGTGCCCTCACCTGCTGCCACGATTCGTCTTCAACGATCGTCCACTGGCCGGTGGTAAGGATGGAAAGCAGCACACTGTTTCCTCGAAATTTGGTCAAGGAATCTGAGGCCTGTTGCTGGCCAGGAATCCATCGGCAAAAGGATGCCGTTGTCGGGTCAGCCAATGCCCCACGCAAAGACAAACAATCATATGCCACTTTGGCATCAAGGATCAAAAGAATTGGACGCTGGATCACATGGTCAAACCAACAACGCATCACAAAGGTGGGGTCCTGGGTCTGACATAGCAGGCTAGCTGCTGCCGCTTCGATTGCTGAAGAACTACGAACCACTCTCTTACATGAGGCTCTACCCCGTTATGGGGGCCACACCACTCAATTGCGACTGCACCAAGGGGATGGCTAACATGAGGAACGAGCCGACTTGTGACTTCCCTCGCGGCATCGCTACCAAGGCACCGTCAGTGGCTACGAGCACCATAATTTGATCCAAGGGACTCTCTTGCTTGGCCTTAGCGACCGTCGCGTTGGCAAGGCGAAGAGTGCTTCCACTGGCATCGACTAAGTTCTGCAAGATACGTAATGGAGAAGGCCAGATCTGGCCTACCCTGCTTTGCCAACCATCCCAGCTGACCCACCAATGCTCGGCTCACTGGGCTGTCATCGGCCATATTGGCATCAAAGGCGATCTCCTTCAGACTTTGGCAGTACGTGTTCATATCCAGCCGACGGTCAGCACTTTGGCGCGTCACACGCCCAAGGAACTTGCCACCTTCTTGCAGATCAGTCCAACTCCCGAACTTCAGCTTTTGTTGAAGGATCTTCCAATCAGCTTCTAGCTCTGGTTCACCAGCTAAAAGAGCATCATCCACACACAGGGTGATCAACCCAACAAGCTTCACACCGACATGTTTCATGAACAAACATGGAATCAGCTTGGATTCTTGGAAACCAATCTCACCCAGCACCTCTCGGAAACGGAGGTTCCACAACCGGGGACTCTCACTCAGTCCAAAGATGCTCTTGGTGGCTTCAAAGATGTCCACACGGTTCTCCGATCTAAGACGCCACTTCAAATAGTCCAACACTTCCTGCGCGCAGCCAGAAGAAGGCACGCGGATATACAATCGCCCTGCACGGGGAAGTGCGAGCCCTTGCAGAAAGGCTGCTGTCACGTCGGCAATGCTAATTGCCCGTCCTAAGGTGGTGGCCACACACAACAAAAGAGCATGGGCAATGACTAGTGCAGTGGGACTGGCGGCTTCATAGCGACCAAGATCTGGATCCTTATGACCACCCACACATAACCGACCCTTTGGTTCAATCCCTTGTGTCAGCTGCTTCTTATTCACTATAACCATACGAGAATGGATGATTCTGCCCTTAGGCACGAGTTGTCCCAGCTTCACTGGACGAATGGCTTCGTGACCGAAATGGATAGGAAGGGCCTTGAATGGTCAGACGCAGCTCTGCGGCTGTCGCGTCCCTGCAGTAAATCTCATTACGAGCACCGGCTGGTGGTCCGTTGCCATGTCCACGCTCCAGCAAACAAAGAGACAATTCATGGTTATGGTTCTTTGTTTCGTCATCGAGTCCTTGTTCCAACAGCTCAAAACGCTTCTCACGAGTACGAAGATCAACCAAGAGCCTTTGGTCCTCATCCTTAGGCATGGCACTGATGGTGGTCTCCAAGGCCCACACGGCAGCCGCCCATTGACGGGCCCATTCTATTACTCCACATTCGAAGGCTTCGAAACCATGATCGGCTGATTGCGGAGCTGAACTATCAAAGTCCTTCTTGGACAGCTTTCGAAGGCGGAAGTCGAGAGGTCCACCCCCAGATTGTCACCCACTTGACGAAGGACACTATCGAACCTGGCACGTCTAATGAAGAGGAGGGGTCAAAGGAAGAAGTCACTGAATCGCTTCCCAATCACGCAGTTTTGCACCACTATCAAAGAATGTCGGACAGGGGCCTTCACCAAGCTTTCTGGTACGGCGTGTCAGGAGGGGGTTGAGACTCCCCGGACGTGACTCCGAAATGGGTGCAAACGATGTCGGACGACGATGCTTGAGGCACTGTATCCACGCGCGACTTCTTCTGACATGGCCATCGACTCTATCGGCAGCTAGCCTGGAACGATCGATTTGTTCCTTGATCTTGGCCGTCTGCTCAACCTCGGGCATCACAAGAGAGGGCACCGGAGCGATTGCGAAGTATTAGTCTCATCTATAGGACTTCGACACCTGCCTCGGGCGCCGTACGTGGTGACTCCAAGGGGGGCACAGGTTGTGTGTGGACTCCGGACTGGCTTGCTGGACTTGTTCTGGCAACAACGACTCAGACGTTTCGGGAACGTCGATCGAATTTGGCTCTTCAGCCAAGTCTTCATAACCTGTTGACCTCCTTCCACCTGTCAATTCTTTGCTGCATTTCTTTGAGGACATCGGTGATGTACTGGGTATCTAGAGTCTCTTCGGGCGCGGCTAATCGAACATTCTCTAAAGCGAATCGAACAACACTACCCTTATAACGAACCCATACTTTATCAACACCTTCAGTCGCGGCGACAACAGCTGGACCCTGCTGGCCTGTGACGTTGTCCTGAAGCCGTCGGCGTTGTCCAGGAGGCTTATGAAAGTACACCTGGGTTCCTGGAGTGAGGGAGACAAGACGCGGTGGACGTGATCTTGCATTCAAGGCCACACGAAGACGCTCATGACTGTCTAGCCAATGAAAGGCGGAAATGGCCGCACATCGCAGCTGCTCAATCCTGTTCATCTCATCGTCACGTGATATGCATGCATTCGTGGGCATGCGGACCTCACCATCAGCCACTTGTTGCAGCAACGAAGAGGGCACGACGTCGCGCCCTTGCACCACCTGCAAAGGCGATTTACCGCGGAGTCTATTCTTGGCTTGGCAACACATGGCTAGCGCTAAACGCAGTTCACTTTTCCTTGCGATGCTTAGTTCACGCATGACCCTCAAAACCATGAGCTTCAAGATGGCACCACGCCGTTCTACCAACCCAGCTTTGAACTTCGCTGATGTTGGCAGGATGATGGTCAACTGCACTCCATGCAAGCGGCACATGGCTTCACAGGAAGCCCGGAATTCCGAACCTCCATCAACAAGCCCCAAATCCATGGGGTCATGGGTCAAGATCCAGCACTCAAACAGCAACTCTGTACTGGTGACACCATTGGGGTTCTTACTTACGATGCCATATTGCAGTGCGCAAAAGCCATCAGCGATATGAGTGATGTTCCACCGTGAACCTGCACTATCAAGGATGAAGAAACTGTCCACGCATTTGCTCGTTGAACCGGCTCGGTGCTTTGGCCGAGGCTTGAGGCGACGAAGGCGGTGTAGAAATCATCTCACAAACGCTGCGCCGCAAACTTTTCGCTCCCTCAACAATTGCTTTGTGGGCCCCATTGATTTGCAACATTCTGGCAAGCCGTTCATTACTTGGATGGCTGAACTGTCCATGAAGCTTGGCCAATAGATTCCGAACTTCCTTGCACAATCGAATAGCCGGTCCGACGAAACGAACATAGCCATACCCAGAACCAGTGCCCCCGAAATCCCCCTTTCATTCATCTTCTGCTTGCCGAAGACGCTTGAACTCCTCGTGGATGGCCATTTCTGAAAGATGCTCAGGGTTACCAACAACCGCTGACTTGGGGCCTCAACGTCACCTGCACACGCAAGATGGCTATCAACAGGTTCATCACTTTGAGAATGACCATTCCAAACAACGTCACACATGGACCCACGCAGTGCGATGCATTCCGAACAACTAGCAATCAAACAGTGCATACAACGACCGGTGTCCGAAGTTTGAGACGCACGTTGCAAGCAACTTGTTCCCTTCGTTTGGAGGTAAGCTAAGTCCGGGTCAGTGTCACTTGCAAGGATGGGAGACCGAACTACCACACGTCCATCCCTACTCATGAGAGTCTCCGCGGCTGCCCTCAAAATGCGCACGCACAAGGCGGATGGCCACATGCCAGCAAGCAATGACCGGTTCACCCAAGTTCCATTCCCTGTGGTTCCCCCTTCAGCAACTTGGTGGTCTTCTCGCTTATGTGTGCAACGAGCCCCACGCAGGCCGAATTGCAATCGAGAGCGGTCCGTTTTCTCATATATAGGCTTCTGATTGCTCGGATCGGCCAAGTCCAAATTGGTACTGATCCATCACAGCTCGATGGAGCTACGGTCTGGCGGCCATCACTTTCAAGGACAAGGCTTGACTCAACCACGGCTGGAAGTCACACGTGAATCCCACACCTTGCGAGTGAATGCCCACAAATGGTACGCCATCGTCAACCGCTTCCAAGCGACGACAGCTGGATCGTTGATAGCTTGCAAGCTACTCCAGGGGCCACATGGTGGTGTTATGATGACTAGATCAGGGTAATCAACCGGTTCATACGCTAGCCACGATGACCCTGGAGTGACATGCAGGGATACTGAGGTTCCAAAGGCCTCCATGAGACAAAAAGGTCACTCATTCGGCTCAGAGCATGAAGTAGCTCATGAATCGCTGCATCTGGCCTCTCTGGTAGGCATGCTTCATCGAAACATTGGAGGGTTTTGGGGCCGCGCATGATTTTCACACATGAGCCGACATGTCCCCACACGGCAGCTAGTTCGGTGGTGGTGTTGTCGCCCGACGGTTGCGTCTCAGCGGCTCCATGTTCTTGGGACGAACAATGCACCGAGCGCTATATAATGGCTTGTCGCCGCAGTCTAGATCTAGACCCCTTACCTACAGCCTGGCCACAGCGGATCTCAAACATTCAAACATGCGAACATCAGCCGTGTCTATTTTGGGCTTCCGCCCTTGCTCGTGAAGTCCGTGGGAAAAAGTCTTTTATGAACAAATACTGAGGAGGCGCCAGCGCCTTCGACAGACACAGAGGGTTCCTTAGCAGCTAGCAGGCATGGTCACATTGGCGGAGGCCGCCTGCTTGCCCGTGTTCTTTGGACACTCTGGATCACGGCTCCAATGTCCGGAGCCGCCGCAATTGCGGCAGGGGTTCTCAGCCGTGAGCTTCTCCTGTTGAACTGCCACCAAGGTGTCATGTTCGACTGCGTCCAACTCATCTTCGGCTGCGGTGCCACTGAGTGACAGGTCTCCCTCAGGGAGATCACCCGCATCGCCTCCTTCTCCGTCGTCTTCCAAAACACGCGCGCCATAGGAGCGACCAAACCGCCCTCGGCCCTCGGGTTGCAGTGTTGCCCGGAGTTGAGGAGGCGGAGGCGGTGACATCTGGTTGCAGCTCAGGCAACAGAGGTCGTTCGGAAAGGCCACGGCCGATAGGCACAGTCCCCTGAAGCAGCGAACCCATTCGACGCAGGGCCGGATAGATGGCCTCTGTTGTCAACTTGTTGCCCGCAGCAGCCATGACCAAAACACGGTCAGCTCGGCATTGTCTAACACATAGCCCACCAGGAAACGCTCTCCCATGCAGAATTCAGCATCCTCTTCCAACTTGAGGTCTCTCTGAGCCTCAACACGCATCAAAAAAGAATCCAAACTCTCGGAGGAATTCACGTTGGGCTCGTTCCCCTCGTTGTCCAGAGAGTTCCTGCACCAGGGAGGATGTTTCCAGAGTTATGAATTTGATCTCAAGACCATCAGCACCAGAGACCTGAGCCACGGACAACTTCCGAGTCAGAATGGAGGCACGTCCCTTCAACACCGAGAGGACCCTGGGTCCGATCACTTCAACCGGCAGCACGCCGCCTTCACCAGGGATCCACATTGGCGCCGCTCGCTTCCACCACTCTTGATAGGATTCGGTCAGCTGAGCAGCAAAGCTACTCGGATAGGATGAAGGAATGCGCTGACTCTTCTTCCCCTGTCTTTGTCCCCAACACGTGCTGGGGTCTTCGCTGGTGACTTGGAAAGCTTGTCCTCACTGGCATTGAGACGAAAGTGATCCCAAGCGTCATCAGCCCCCTGGCTTGGTTCACCTCCAAGGACTCGTCCACTTTCCCATCGGCTTGCCACCAATCCTCCACATGGTCAATAGCATCGGCTGACGCCGGGAGCCCTCCATTCTCACAAGCTGGGGATGATGACCAAGTCGACCAACGAGGCGCCGCCCAATCCCAAGTCTGCCAAGATGTCCAACCTTGGTGGTGGTATGGTCGTCCCCAAGCAAGCAAGTTGCAGGCGGCTCCCAATGCCGCCAAGCTTGCCATGAGTGATCTTGCCACTCACGATCCCGTCCAACGTCACCCCTCAGCATGATCAGCACGTTGAGGGTGCCCTGCAGGAACGACAGGTGGTTCAAAAGAAGAAGGTGGTGTTGCCCCAACCACCTCATAGGAAAAAGTAGTATTGCCACTTGCACTCGCAGTGGATCGGCCGTCCAGCTTGTGGCCCAGGAGCCAAGGCAGTTCCGCTAAGCCCACGACCCACTGCAGACACTGGTTGCCTCGGTTGCCCTGGCGACTCCGCATAGTCACCTTCACCCTCACTATCTTCCGGCCGGCGGGGCGGACGACGCCGCCGAGTAGGCGGGCTAGACAAGGCATCAAGCCCCCAACTCCACTTCACACGACCTGGATCGAACAAGGCACAGCAGCGCGACGGCAACAGAGCACCAACCAGGCACAGCATTCACCCGAAAGTGGTAGGGAGCAACGCGACCATGAAGCTTCAAACGCACCGGACCGAGTCTTTTCATCTGAACACGGGGAGACTGGGCCACCATGGGGTCCCGGAACAAGTCTCTCACATGGCATTCAAAAGGAAGTCATGACGGGGTCAAGTTTCCTTTGACTCTAAAGCATGCAAATATGTTTCTGAAGATTGCGAAATAGTTTCTGAAGATCGCGAATTAGTTTCTGAGGATCGCGAAATAGTTTCTGAGGATCGCGAAATAGTTTCTGAAGATCGCGAAATAGTTTCTGAAGATCGCGAAATAGTTCCTGAAGATCGCGAAATAGTTCCTGAAGACCGCAAAATAGTTTCTGAAGAATAGTTTCTGAAGAGTACCAAATAGTTGCGGAAGAAAAGCTTCAGAAGAACGGAGAGTTGCGGAATAGGACTTTGTTCCAAAAAACTATATAAAGGAACATTTTGACCAAGTCGCAACTGCTCAAAAATAGCAAGAATTGCAGGTCTGTGCCAAAAAACTCTTCAAGAATTCCAAGGTAGCCGCCCTTTGTTTTCCAAAGCAAAACACACCCTTCTGCGGAAAAGCTGAAAAACGACATGGGTGCAGCAAACACACCCAGCTTATCCCTACTGCTCATCCCCAGCTCTATTTGCTTCGGGGGTCCGCCAGCCACGAGAAGGTCAGGAAGCATGCGAACTTGAAGGAAAGAAAAAGGCATTGCAAAATGACGGAAAGTGTAGGAAAAAGCGACAATGGGATGCAAAGGGAAAACTGCGCGACCCCACCATATCTTCCAGTGTTCCTGCTTCAATAGCACAATCCAGGAGAATCCATTATAAGTTATTTTGCAGTGTCTTTGACTTCTCCCGGACAACTACGCTTCAACTTTTCGCAGTGGCTGGACGTGAAAATGTAAAATTACAGTAAAAGGTGGCTGAAACTCCACCTCATATGTCTGGCACATTTTGCAAAAGTTATCTTAATAACATAACTCCACCCTGGAATTTCAGCAAGGTGGTAGCCATGGTCCAACATTCTGTTGCACAGTGTGGCCTCCAACCTGCCACAATCGTCTTCATAGATCCACCGAGCATTGAAGTTCACCTCGTCACCATTGTGAAGGCTTTCGATGCTGGCACTGCCTCGTCCTCCTCCCCGCAGAGTGGCTTCATGGCTCACCTGCACAGTGTTCTCTTCACGAAAATGAAAAGAAGACTGAAGATGGAGAAAAAACATATAGCTCAAAAAATGAGACAGATTGTCTCAACTCAACAGAAGAGCAGTTCTGACCACACTATCTGCTGCATAGGCTGATCCATTAGATCCTTCATCTTCATCGCAGCATGTCACATGTCAAAGCCTGAACATCCCAATCAAAGAGCTGCCTCGGCTGCTGTGGCATCATTAGGGTGCCGTGCAGGCATGAAGGAGAAATTGAAAGAGCTCAAAGTCCACACCCTTTTGTACTAAGTCCCAATATTCCTTTGAGAAAGCTTTCTAAAGCCATTTGACTGCGTCCAGGAAGCAATACCGCTCGACCTCAAGATGCAGCTGTGTTGTTGTGATGTCAGAAATGCCCAAGCTCCTTCTTTCAAGTGCCCAAATGCCTATTCTTGCCCACCCGTGAAAAAGCCAAAACTGCCCACAAATGAAGTAAAGGCAAATCTGAGACTGGTATCGGTATCTCCTAAAAATAGACTTCACTGTGCTTGATATTTGCACGTGTGGCATGTTTGTTCTCAATCCTTATATCTTGTATAAACTATAACTATAAATTGTACTTTCATTGAAAACAATGTTTCTCAAAAAAGAACTATCAGCACAACTACCGATTCCTTTGTTAGGCTACCGACACTATTTTCTATATTCAGAATCAGTTCAATCCACCACGTGCTCAGAGCCATTCCGTTTGTAGAAACCAAAACTGAGCACAAAGGAAGACAAGAAACAAACGGGCATGGTCAAACACGAAGGTCGGAGCGCAAACAAATGAAAAGAATAAAAACTATATGTATATATATATATTGTTTATATTTTGGGCCGGGGGGCGGGGTAGGCCGTGTAAAAATGAGGTAGGTAGTTGCTGAATCTAACGGTAGTTACTACCTACAAGTAGCTACTAATACCTAGGACGCACCATAGCTTACGTTTTTCATTTGGTTCCTAGATTTTGTCGGAAACTTAACGCTAAGCCGGAAATCACCCAACGCAAACATGGTGGGAGGATGTACTGCACAATGAAACCCAAGCCTTGTGAGAAGGGAGCGTGTGGAATTGCCAGTCCAAGGACTCTACTCCCACTCTTTCTCGCAAAAATAGAAGTATATAGTATAGAAAGAAAAAACGGACCTGTTAGAAGCTTCCCTCAAAACGCAGCAAGATGGCAATGTATAGTCCCAGCATAGTTCGCCGAATCTTCGCCGGCTGCTGTGTACGTACCTACGGCTGGCAAGGCTTGGCTGCTCATGGACTTATCCCGTAGTTCGTTAGCAAACATGTTTTTTGGTTCCTTTGTCCTATTGAATATGTTCTTATGGAGGTGCAAAGACTCCAAGGATCAGCTTCCAACACTGTCCAGGTCAATCTGACATAGACTGATTCGGGCTAAGCATCCGTAATTTTCAAACATATACATACCTGAAAAGGGAGGGGACGAAATCCAGCCTCCGTAAGAAGACGTCAATGTGGTCATGGGGGGTGAGTGCAAGAGCGCATTGGAAGCGCTGCGAGGCAGAGGTCGGGGCCGATATGACAGGTTCTCAGTCACAGGTGGGGGGTGGGGTGCTTTTTGTTTTGGTTGAAGGGCGTTTGGAAGAGAGAAAAGGGCACGCCTAAGTATTTGAGGGGCGCTTGTCTGCGGCTTGTTACTCGTGCCTTGTAGATGAACTCATAGACCTGGCGTGCTGCTAAGAGTGGATCGTGTTGTTGTGGGGGGAAGTCGACATGACGGTGATGTCTACTGCTGTTGGAAATAGAAGGCAGAAGATATAGGTTGGGGGGGGTTTTCCTTTGGCTCAAGGGCGTGTTCAAATTAAAAAGGTCACCGATGTTAGCGCCAAGATCAAGTGATGGCTTAACATCGTGCAAAGAATAGCTTGGTTATGGGGTGAAGTCAACATGGCAGCCACGCCGACAGGTGGTAGAAATAGAAAGCAGACGACATAGTTCGGGCAGGGGGTGCCTTTTTTCTTCCTGGTTCAATGGCGTTTTCAAGCTGAAAAAGGACACCCCCAAGGATTCCTGCTGTTTGGTGTGGAGATCTCATCGCTTAGGCTATCGGCTGGTTTTCGCAATTATACATATATACATATCACATAATATATATATATATATATATACAAACATGTAGATGATACTCGTCTCTTTTCCCAGGCGTAAACCGCTGCGCGCCCTGTGAAGGGTTGCTGTGAGTAGCTGGCATGTACAGCACACAAACAGAGCTCGGTATTGCGTCCACATGGATCCAGCTGGGGAGGAAAGGAAAAGGTTTATTCAGAAGTTGCGTTCCGATCGAAGTTACGGAGCCCGTTTGCTTTGCAGCTTCGCATCACGTTGTGTTGGGAGACTTCCACCACTTTTCACGTCCTGCTGTCTTCGACATGAACTCCCACCCCTGGTCGAAGACTGTTTAAACAGCCTCCTGAGCCCCTCATGACACTGATGATGCACTCTTCGGCGTCAATTACATCACTTGCATCACAACCCCCCAAAACCATACATGTTCACTCCTTTTCGGACGCCCTCTTTTTTCGCTCTCCCCCACCAGGCTGAGTTCGCCCTACCAGATTGCGCCACTATGCGACCACCCCCCGCCACACCCACTAATACTCACTTCGTTCGCCCATCGACAACTCCAGCCTAGCCCATCGGCTGGCTTTCGTAATATATGAATTAAATATAATATAGATATTATATATATATATATATTTTTTTTTGGGTTTTTCCCGAATGCGTAGCGAAGGGTTCCCGTTTATAGTTGGGGTCTGGAGGTTGGAGCTGTGTTTGCATGGCTTGCGTCGTGTCGTCGTTTGTCGTCGTCTCTCGTCGTCTCTCGTCGTTTGTCGTCGTTTGTCGTCGTCGTCGCGTCTCAAATTCGCTGCCATTGGGGGAAGCTTTTGCAAGTGACTTTGCATGGATGTGTCACGTGTCAGTTTGCGCCGCTATTCCATTGTGATTTGCATGACAATGACATGTCGCGCAAGAAACGTGATGCATTTCGCTGCACACAGGCGCAGCGTTTTGTGAGATCCGCAGATTGCTGCGCAGTTCCATTGGGATTAGCGTTTGGAGAGTCGTGTTTTTGGGGTGTTGGGTGTGGCCGTGCCATTGGGATTTGCGTTTCAGGGTGTGGCATCGAAGCTTGGTTTTCGTGACAAGTCTCAGCTGAGATGGCGATTTTGGTGGATGGGAGTGTGCTCAGAACGGGTCGAAATCATTCCAAACGTGTGGTGTGGTGCAAATTTTGTTGAAGCTCACATGAGATGATATTGTCACATTTCGTGGCAGGCGCAGGACTTTGTGCGGGATTTGAAGCGTGGAAGTGCGATTCTCGTGGCAGGCGCAGGGAATCGTGAGGTTGCGAGGTGTGACGGAGTTGACATTTCGTGGCAGGCGCAGTACTTTGCGCGCGTTAGACGTGTGGACGCGGAAAGATTCGTGGCAGGCGCAGGGAATCGTGAGGTTGTGAGTTGTGGTAGAGGTGAATGTCGCTGTCATATTGGGATTGGCGTGTGAGCGGATGTTGTTTGGAGGGCTGGAATCGCGAAACTGCTTGGCAGGGCTGCGTGATGTATGTTCCGATGGGTGTTTCCGCTTGACTTTTGGAGGAAGTCTCGTACGAAACGCTCGTTTTGCAGACTTTGACGTGTGAGTTTTTGAGGAAGTCTCGTGCGAAACGCTCGTTTTGGAGACTTGACGCGCAACCCTCTGCGGAGATCGTGCGTGTCGAGCGTGCGAAATGCAGGCGAGCACTGGCGACTTTGTAGTACAACTTTAGTACGCGGAGTATCTGGCGAGCTGGAAGATGACAACTGGTGACTTGGTAGTGCAACTTTAGTACGCGGAGCAATCTGTGGAGCTGGAAGCTGAGAACTGGCGACTTTGTAGTACAACTTTAGTACGCGGAGCAATTGTGTGAAGCTGGAAGCTGAGAACTGGCGACCTTGTAGTACAACTTTAGTACGCGGAGTATCTGGGGAGCTGGAAGAGTGTCCCACAAGAGTGTCCCGCAACAGTGTCCCACTAGAGTGTCTCACAAGAGTGTCCCTTAAGAGTGTCCTACAGGAGTGTCCCGCAAGAGTGTCCTACAAGAGTGTCCCACAAGAGTGTCCCACAAGAGGGTCCCACAAGAGTGTCCCACAAGACTGCCCCACAAGAGTGTCCTACAAGAGTGTCCCACAAGAGTGTCCCACAAGAGTGTCCCACAAGAGTGTCCCACACGAGTGTCCCACAAGAGTGTCCCACAAGACTGTCCCACAAGAGTGTCCTACAAGAGTGTCCTACAAGAGTGCCCCAGAAGAGTGTCCCACGAGAGTGTCCCACAAGAGTGTCCGACAAGAGTATCCCACAAGAGTGTCCCACAAGAGTGTCCCACAAGAGTGTCCCTTAAGAGTGTCCGACAAGAGTATCCCAGAAGAGTGTCCTACAAGAGTGTCCCAGAAGAGTGTCCCAGAAGAGTGCCCCACAAGAGTTTCCTACAAGAGTGACCCACAATTTCCTACAAGAGTGTCCTACAAGAGTGCCCCACAAGAGTGTCCCACAAGAGTTTCCTACAAGAGTGACCCACAAGAGTGTCCCACAAGAGTGTCCCTCAAGAGTGTCCGACAAGAGTGTCCCAGAAGAGCGTCCCACAAGAGTTTCCTACAAGAGTGACCCACAAGGGTGTCCTACAAGAGTGTCCCAGAAGAGTGTCCCACAAGAGTGTCCTACAAGAGTGTCGTTTGGACGTTTGCATTCGGGTTCGTGGGTTCCATCTTGTTTTTCCCGAATGCGTAGCGAAGGGTTCCCGTTTATAGTTGGGGGTCTGGGGGTTGGAGCTGTGTTTGCATGGCTTGCGTCGCGTCGTCGTCTCTCGTCGTCTCTCGTCGTCTGTCGTCGTTTGTCGTCGTCGTTGCGTCTCAAATTCGCTGCCATTGGGGGAAGCTTTTGCAAGTGACTTTTCATGGACGTGTCACGTGTCAGTTTGCGCCGCTATTACATTGTGATTTTCGTGACAGTGACATGTCGCGCAAGAAACGTGATGCATTTCGCTGCACAGGTGCAGCGTTTTGTGAGATCCGCAGTTTGCTGCGCAGTTCCATTGGGATTAGCGTTTGGAGAGTCGTGTTTTTGGGGTGTTGGATGTGGCCGCGCCATTGGGATTTGCGTTTCAGGGTGTGGCATCGAAGCTCGGTTTTCGTGACAAGTCTCGGCTGAAATGGCGATTTTGGTGGATGGGAGTGTGCTCACAACGCGTCGAAATCATTCCAAACGTGTGGCGTGGTGCAAATTTTGTTGAAGCTCACATGAGATGATATTGTCACATTTCGTGGCAGGCGCAGGACTTTGTGCGGGTTTTGGGGTGTGGAATTGCGATTCTCGTGGCAGGCGCAGGGAATCGTGAGGTTGTGAGTTGTGGTAGAGGTGAATGTCGCTGTCACATTGGGATTGGCGTGTGAGCGGATGTTGTTTGGAGGGGCTGGAATCGCGAAACTGCTTGGCAGGGCTGCGTGATGCGTGTGCTGCGATGGGTGTTTCCGCTTGACTTTTGGAGGAAGTCTCGTACGAAACGCTCGTTTTGCAGACTTTGACGTGTGAGTTTTTGAGGAAGTCTCGTACGAAACGCTCGTTTTGGAGACTTGACGTGTGACTTTTTGAGGAAGTCTCGTACGAAACGCTCGTTTTGGAGACTTGACGTGTGACTTTTGGAGGAAGTCTCGTACGAAATGCTTGCTTTGGAGACTTGACGTGTGACTTTTGGAGGAAGTCTCGTACGAAACGCTCGTTTTGGAGACTTGACGTGTGACTTTTGGAGGAAGTCTCGTACGAAGAGTGCCCTACAAGAGTGTCCCGCAAGAGTGACCCACAAGAGTGTCCCACAAGAGTGTCCTACAAAAGTATCCCACAAGAGTTTCCTACAAGAGTGTCCCGCAAGAGTGTCCCACAAGAGTGTCCCACAAGAGTGTCTCACAAGAGTGTCCCACAAGAGTGTCTCACAAGAGTGTCCCTGAAGAGTGTCCCACAAGAGTGTCCTATAGGAGTGTCCCACAAGAGTGTCCTACAAGAGTGTCCCACAAAATTGTCCCGTATGAGTGTCCCACAACAATGTCCCAACATAGTGCCCTACAAGAGTGTCCCACAGGAGTGTCCTACAAGAGTGCCCGACAAGAGTCACAAGAGTGTCCTACAAGAGTGTCCCACAAGAGTTTCCGACAAGAGTGTCCCACAAGAGTGTCCCACAAGAGTGTCCCACAAGAGTGTCCCACTAGAGTGTCCCACATGTCCCACAAGAGTGTCCCACAAGAGTGTCTCACAAGTGTATCCCACAAGAGTGTCCGACAAGAGTGTCCCATAAGAGTGACCCACAAGAGTGTCCTCACAAGTGTGTCCCACAAGAGTGTCCGACAAGAGTGTCCCATATAAGAGTGACCCACATGAATGTCCTACAAGAGTGTCCCGTAAGAGTGTCCCACAAGAGTGCCCCACAAGAGTGTCCTATAAGAAAGAGTGTCCCGTAAGAGTGTCCCTGTCCTATAAGAGTGTCCCACAAGAGTGTCCTACAAGAGTGTCCCACAAGAGTTTCTTACAAGAGTGTCCCACGAGAGTGCCCCAACAGAGTGCCCTACAAGAGTGTCCCACGAGAGTGTCCTACAAGAGTGTCCCACAAGAGTGTCCTACAAGAGTATCCCGCAAGAGTTTCCTACAAGAGTGTCCCACAAGAGTGTCCCACCAGAGTGTCCCACAAGAGTGTCATACAAGAGTGTCCCACTAGAGTGTCCCACAAGAGTGTCCCGTATGAGTGTCCCACAAGAGTGTCCCACAAGAGTGTCCCGCAACAGTGTCCCACAAGAGTGTCTCACAAGAGTGTCCCTTAAGAGTGTCCCACAAGAGTGTCCCGCAACAGTGTCCCACAAGAGTGTCCTACAAGAGTGTCCCACAAGAGTTTCCTACAAGAGTGTCTCACAAGAGTGTCCCTTAAGAGTGTCCCACAAGAGTGTCCTATAAGAGTTTCCTGCAAGAGTGTCCTACAAGAGTGTCCCACAAGAGTGTCCTACAAGAGTGTCCCACGAGAGTGTCCCGCAAGAGTGTCCCACAAGAGTGTCCCACAAGAGTGTCCTACAAGAGTGTCCCACAAGAGTGTCTCACAAGTGTGTCCCACAAGAGTGTCCTACAAGAGTGCGCTACAAGAGTGTCCCGTAAGAGTGTCCCACAAAAGTGTCCTACAAGAGTGTCCCACAAGAGTGTCCTACAAGAGTGTCGCGTAAGAGAACAGTGTCCCACAAGAGTGTCTCACAAGAGTGTCCCTTAAGAGTGTCCCACAAAGGTGTCCTATAAGAGTGTCCCGCAAGAGTGTCCTACAAGAGTGTCCCACAAGAGTTTCCTACAAGAGTGTCCCACAAGAGTGTCCCACAAGAGTGTCCCACAAGAGTGTCCTACAAGAGTGGCCCACAAGAGTGCCCCACAAGAGTGTCCAACGAGAGTGTTCTACAAGAGTGTCCTACAAGAGTGTCCTGTAAGAGTGGCCCACACGAGTGTCCTACAAGAGTGTCCTACAAGAGTGTCTCACAGAGTGTCCGACAAGAGTGTCCCATAAGAGTGACCACAAGAGTGTCCTACAAGAGTGTGCTACAAGAGTGTCCCGTAAGAGTGTCCCACAAGTGTCCCACAAGAGTGTCCCACAAGAGTGTCCTACAAGAGTGTCCCATAAGAGTGTCCCACAAGAGTGTCCCATAAGAGTGTCCCGTAAGAGTGTCCCACAAGAGTTTCCTACTAGAGTGTGTCCCAGAAGAGTGTCCCACAAGAGTGTCCCACAAGAGTGTCCCGTAAGAGTGTCCCACAAGAGTTCCCTACAAGAGTGACCCACAAGAGTGTCCCACAAGAGTGTCCTACAAGAGTGTCATTTGGACATGTGTAGCTTTTCGAACGTGTTTGCATTCGGGTTCGTGGGCTCCATCTTGTTTTTATATATACTATATATATATTATACATATTATACTGTAAGGGTCCTGAGTATTGCTTTGTCTTGTTGATATGACCATTCTGTGTCCAATACAGAGAACAAGCAAGCTTCCCATTTCGGCAACAACTTCTCTCTCCCGCCTGACAGGGCATAGCCTTTCCGTGCCTCGTCGGAATCCGGGCTGGACAGGAAGGATTTCACTCACTGTTCATGCTGCTCACGGTCAAAGTCTAAAGGCTCGGCCTGTAAGCGAAGCAGTGGTCGCGACGCTTGTGGCTTGCCATGCGCGTTCCTTAGGTAGGTGGTGACTATTTGCCACTCGAAAGGAACATGTCAGACGGACAGAAGAAAACACCAAAACTTTGCTGCTACATACAGGGACATTGATGGCACAATGGATAAAAGACACGAAAACAATGACGTTGCTGCCAAGTGACGTGTGTATAGCAAAGCACAAGTAATCATTTAAACAAACTCTGCTGCTATGCAGCACAGAGCCATGCACATAGACATTCTGTTTGAAATCTGCCAGAGCGCCTGCAAGCCAAAGGCCCAAAGGCAAACACTAATGCCTTGTGACTTTGTGGCTGTTCTTGAATGGGGTTATATAGTAATGAAGAACTTCTTTCACAGAAAGTGCCTGGCGAAGAAATAGTGCCTGGGCTGTCACACTGATGTTGCGGCGCTGAACAACTGCAAGAAGCACTAAAGGTTTAGACTAAGACTAAGCGTCTTAGCACCAAAACAAAGGCATCAACAGTTCAACAAGTTATTGCGCATGGAAAATTGCAAAATCTGCACATGGAGTACTGTATTTGTGTTTGCAGTTGCCTTCTGTTTTGCTCTCATCATATCCTGCTTATCCAAGCCACCTGAATTCTTTTCCTTGTCAAATCGCTCCAGATAGCCGGCATAGATCGGCACATCTTTAAAATCAGCTGCACTTGCATACGACCTGGGCAAACTATACATTCTCCACAAGCATTCTAAGGCTCAAAACGTTTGTACAAAACAGTTCAGGAGTAATGGCACAATGTGCACACACAAATGCAAGCTACTATTTCTGGGTCGAGTCCCACTTGTTGCTGCCATTGCTGCCAAGCCGCACGCATCCAGAATTGTACTGTCCTTGTCTGTGACTGTCCTTCCTTGGCTTTTGAGCTCCAAGAAATCGATATGTTCTCTCAAGAATGACTGCTCTACAATGGTTTTGCTATTTTCTAAGTCTTGCCCAAAACCTCTCAAATGCACCCGCCAACCAGGCCAAATTCCTGCAAATTGAGATGTCATGTCGTTCGCATGTTGTTGATGAGAGTCCTCCATGCGTCAAACGGAAAATCCAGGGGGAGGCGCGAAGCAACCTTGGCAACACAACGCAACACTACAAGAAGGCCATTTGTCTAGTTGTGGTTTGTTCGAAGCTCTTGAACACTAAGAACAAATGCTAACAACACCGACTGCTAGAGCCACGGAGCCACTTCTCTGTTAAAGTAACCTCAGAAGCATATGCGTGATGTCGAACTCTTGAAGTGATAGAAGCGATAGAAATGAAATGAAACAAAATTAAATAAACAGACTAGTGTTGCTTGTCGTTTTTGCTCATGTTGCAAAACAAGTCTCCATTTCTTCCAAACTGCTGCTTGTTGTGTTTCGATCGCGGAGGAGTAGGGTGCAAGCTGGGCCTAGAAGGGCAGCAAGAGGGCAAGAACGAGCAAGCACATAAGAACCTATTCTTATTGCGAGGCCGCAAGGAAAAGCTTACTTCAAAAGTTAACGCCCTCAAACAGGAGAAGCATCCTTCACAAACACTCACTGACCGTCTGCATTCCATACCAAAATCGACCCCACCCACCCTCAGAGCAACATACAATGGAAGAAAGAACCCCAGCTAGCCCTAGCTTTACCTGCCTCCATGTTTCATTTTCCAGGATAGACTGCTCGCATGGCCTTACACAAAGCATTGGCAAGGCCGAGAAAGAACACTGTGAACAATTATCGCTCCAAACCTGTGATAAAATTCTCTCGTGAACAGCCGCGCTCATAGACCAACACTGCCAGGCTGTCTAGGCAACTTGAAAAAGCTGACACAGGTTCAATTCGGGCAATGCAAATGTGTGCAAACACTCTGATGCAAACCAGTTGAAGTTTTCATCACAAAGAACAACCGCTGAAAAGCACTGGAAAAGCATGTGCCATTGCGTCAAGAATCCCGTCACGTCTCCCATCAAACGAGCCATCGAGACCATCCAGATCCTTTTTTGCCTTGGTTCTACAGTATATTTCTATAGAGTGAACTATGCACCCAATGTTCTGAAACTCTCCTTGTGACCAAGCTCTGGTCGTCTTGTGCCGTTGCCATGAACCCCTTCACTTGTATTTAGTTCCCGGGTGAAATATCGAGCAACTGTTTAGGAGAGTACCTCTTGGACAGTACCAACAAGACTCTCAGCAAACCCCAGTCGAGCATGTATTGAATCAACTGGCACGCTTCTGTTCGGCACCAAGGTGGAGCTGAGGTTCACAAGCTCGACCAAACCAATTCGCGTTTAAACTTTAAACCTTGAGCCCTCCAAGTCCAAGTTGGGATCCCTGCATGTGGTGCTGAACAGTCCCTGAAGGGTATGGTATGTACCAGATTAATTGGTTTGCTGGATATGTTTTTGGAAGTGTCTGCCTCCAAATGGTCCCATTTCCTTACACTTTACCATCAATTGAAAGGCTGTGTCCTTTGCTGCTTTGCGTTTAGGGCACTTATCTGCCTATTTCAGCCTTCGGTTCTCTACGCACAAAGCACCGCAGCATACAATACGATACAGGTTTGCTTGACGTTGCGGAACACGAGACGGAAAAGGTCACGAAAGGTCAAAGCGAGCCTCGTGTTTTGCGCAATTGTGGTTATTGTTTTCCTTGCTCTGCATGAGACACTACAGTATCCAATATTGCACAGCCGAGGTGGTTTTAATTCTTGCCGCTCCTGGTCTGGTGTTGGTTCATTGGTTTCTGTTTGCTTCGACACTGGATTTGGGCACAGCTTGCTTTAGCAAGCTCCAAGTGATGTCGATAGAAAGAATGCACTTCATAAAGCCCAAGATCCTTCGGAAGCCACTACAATTGCCGGGCCACCCACGGCACTCCAACAAACCAACAAACATGGTTTTCCGTAAAAACACTTCCTCTCCGAACATGACAACAATAGTGGCAACATCTCTCTGCCTGTAACACAAGAATTTTTTAGCATTAACATAGAACTTAAGGCAAAGTTGCTAAAGTAAAGTAGTGCATCTTTAACATTAAAAATGGTACCCGTCAAAACGTTGAGAATGTAGTAATTCAGGGGCCCAACAATCTGTTGTATATCTGAAGATAAACAAAGGGATCCACCGCGCTCAGGCGTCGCCTGCTTTCAAGGTCGAAATGTGTTCAGGTTTCGGACTGTTTTAAAAAACGAGCGGCAACCCTCTTTCCACATCTCAATTTTGTGTCGTCACCTTTTCTGGCAGTTAAGCAACGCTTTTGCCAATTGTTTCACCGGTTCACCGCCTGACACATTGCATCAGCAGCGGGTTGACAGAACGATTGAACATATGTGCGCTTATAACACTAGCTGGCAACCATTCTTAATGAATTTCCAGCAACTATCTGCTTTCCAAATTCCCGTAACTTTGTTTTCATGAATTTGGTGGTTCCCCAACATCACACGAAGGAAACAAGAAGACCAAAACAAAACCGTCGAAACATCCGACACCGTCATCCTGGCAGCCAAAAGATACAGTGGAAAGTACAAATATGCAAGCCACAACAACATCGTAAGTACCTAAAAAAAAACCTTACACAAATGAACAACCCCTCAAATCCAACATTAACGCCGTTATCCCACCCCACCCCCCATCCCCAAACTGTTTGCTTTTGCTTCCTCAAACTGTTTCACATGCAACATCAACATCATTGTCCCACCCCAAACAATCCAACTACCTTCCAACAACACGCTTCTGCACACAGTCTGCGACGCCCAGGCGGGGTGGCACCCATAAACAAGCACGGCTGGCGAAAGACTGAACGTCAAGGATCTCCGTGTTGAAAAATGAGGAACAGAGAAGCAAACAAACATAGACCTCCAGAGGGGTCCAAAAGCAAAGTCCGCGGGTTCCATGCTAAGTGCAGACAGCCATTCTTTTCTGGGTACATAGACATGCTTTTCTATTGCTTTCTCTATGGTGTGTGTGTGTGTGTCACCACCTGTCTCCAAGGTTCTCGTAACTAATTTTTCACAAGGATTGCAGAGCTACTCCATACTACTGTTCCACTCAGTTCCAGTTTTCAGCAGCAGGGGGACCATCCATGTGCTGTGCGCGATGGTCCAACGAAGCGGCCACAGCACATGTGGATATCTGGCCTGATCAGCCAGACGTACCTGCAGTTTTTCACCTGCGACACTTCATCTTGGGCCCTGCTTCTAACTAGAACAAGAAATCCAGCCTTTGCACCGGTTTGCAGTAAGCGGCTAATGCATTCCAACAATTTGTTAAACATCTTCAACTTTCCGGACTTTTTCACCTTTCGGTTTGCACTCTTCTTCCAGTCAAGGGGAACTTTATACTGACAATAGCTCTTGCGAGCAACTCTCTAAGTGTGTTTCGCCACAGGGTCCCACTGAGGGCTGTGGTGTGATCCCCGTCAAGGGGCGCGGCGTGCGCACAGACCCAACTTCTGGGGGATTCTTCTTGATATTCCGTTCGCGTTCCGGAACTTCCTTTGATCCTCTCTGATTGGCAGTGACGCACGATACCATTGATCTTATGCCGCAGGGCCTACTGTGATCAAAACCTGGAGATATTCTCAGCTGAAACATGCGTCTAAGTAATCACTTGTACAGTCCTCCTAGGCAGGTTTCAGCATGACATTTTAGGCACGACATGAGACTCATGCGCTTGCACCGATTTCATTGTCAACTTTCCTCACGGCTTCTACTGCGACGCCATGAACTACCAGTGGGTTACTCAGTCTTCCCCTACACAAAGTGTACCGGCACCTTATGGTCCTATGTCGCAACCGACCTCCACCACCACTCACCAGTTACAATACCAGGGCTCGATCTCGCTCCCCTCGCCGCTCCAACATTCGACTCACCCCCAACCCCCAGCACTCGGATACCGACCCTTCCAGCTCCGCCCTGGATTCCACCACCACCTCCCGCCCCAAGGGCATTCACGTTGCCACCAGCACAGGCATTGAAGCCGCACAGCCACATCGACGACCCTTCAATCCCTCCACCCAGGCCGAGCACGACCATGCCAGTCACACCCACGGCACAGACACATTCAACCGTATTCTACACTACCTCCACCGCCAGAGACCGCAACACATCTATGCTCAACTATGTCGCCAAGATCCTCACCAACGCCGGCATCTTTGCCAAAGACCTTCAGGATCTCGAGCAGTGGATCCATTCCGAGTGGGACAGTGACATCAACGGCTACACCTCCACGAAGCACTTCTCTCTCTACATTCCTCGCCTCCAGAACAAAAATCGGGTTGGTCATATTCCTCATCGTCACAACCAGACTGCCACCCAACATGGCACTGTGCATGTGTTTGCATGCCACGCTACGGAAGAGGGCAACCTCCTCGATCTCCTTCAGTCCGGACGCTTCAAACCCAGTACACAGCACTCCCCCAATGCACAAGGTTTCTTTGGAAGATGATCTACGACGCCTGGCACACAGCCCGAGTCATCGACAAGAATTGCCAGATGGCAAAAAACCGAGCAGGCATCATTCTTCACTGCATGGCATGGGGCACCGGCAAGAAATTTACTCAGGGAGGTGAATCCGAAGGAGAACGCCTTCTCGCGGCCAACCATGGAGTTGTAAAGCATGACAAAGGAAAACGCTACATCATCCATCCGGACAACGTCGTGATCCGTGGCATAGCCTGGGAATGCAACGCGACCCCACCACAGTCTTTTTTGTGATGCCCGCCGCTGACTGCGCAATCCCTTTTGGATTCCTCCCCTTTTCAATTCTCCCTTTCTCCCGTTCCCATTCGACGCACCTCAGAAGAAAGATTTTCACCTGGATCATGACGAGTTTCACAGTAACTACGTGGACTACGCAGACTACATTCTCCTGCAGGTTTCAGTATTCGGTTCTCAGTTTCCTCACCCATCGAACGACTTTTGTGTTGCTCGCCATGGTCACTCGCTCTACGCTACCGGGCCCCACTCCACAATGTGACCGCATCGCTCAGCGTGTTTCCAATGTCGCTTCCACCCTACGACTGGCCGCCTCTTCACTGGATGAGATTCACGACATTCTTCGTGGACAACCCCCGCCTGCTCCCACGATGGACTACCCACCGGTCCTGCAAACACTGGGCTTGCCGCCTCGTCCGCCAACCCTCAATCACCCCAATCCACATCCCCCGGCGCCACACCATTTGCGTGGGAATCTTCGACCAATTGCTGCGCCATCACAACTTGGTGCCTCCACCAGCGATGATGAACCATCCTTCCCAGATCCTTCCCACGTTCCCCGCATTCCCTCATCCTTGGATGACAGCGATTGTTCTTCGGCGCCAGCCCTCCCCCCTCCGACCAAACGACCACGTGCTCCTCGTCCCGCCAAAGCCAAAACCAAGTCCCGCCCTTCGACACCGCCTTCGGCATCCACCAGACGTCGCTCTCAACTATGCCAAGAACTTCAGGAAAACTGGGACTCTTGGGAACCATGGCAGGAAGAACAACTTGTCGACATGAAGACCAATAGCTGGACCTTCATTGCCAAGAAGCTCCAATGTACACCTGCTCAATGCAAGGCACGTTGGTCAGAGATTCTCTCCCTGTCAAGACACCATGAATGCCGACCACACTGATATACCACCGGCGGATCGCATTGAATCTGGACTTCAACACGAAGAACCCGCTCCATCATCACCGGCGACTTCTCCCATTGCCTCCTTCTCCGCCAATGATCCTCCTCCAGATCCGGCCATTCTCTTGCCGGCGCAGCCAGCCCAGGTGGATCCCTCTCACTCCGGTGAGACAGCAGCAATGACTATCTCCCCGACACCACCGACCTATCAACTTAACATAGTTAGCCTGAGTTAGCTAAGTAGTTAGCTAAGTGGTTAACTTGGGGTTAACATGAGTTAGGCTAAGTACTTAGCTAAGTAGTTAGCTGGGAGTTAGCTAAGTACTTACCTATGCATTTTTGATTGTGTTTTAATCTTAAGTCAAGCCACTCTGGCAAAGAAAAACAAACATA